CTGTCCCTTGGGTTGGCGCGCGTTCAAATATGGATGTGCGTCAAATTAGCGTCGGTGACTTAGCGTCGATGGCGTAACGGTGGAAAGTGGAACATTGAGGCTGTTTTTATTTTTTTATTTTCTTGCTATTTATACACGTAATTGAAAACTTTTAGATGCAAAAATATTAAAAATACAAAATCCTAACTATATATGTAAAATTTAAGCATATTGGAGGTCTGGAAGTATTTCAAAAATGCATTTGAAAAATCGACTCCCCATACCTTGGAGAATATCTCAATTGACAGTTCATCAGCTTAAAGGACGTTTCTTCAAGAATATAAACTTAAAATTTTATAAAAATCAAATCCACAGTTTTTGAGAAAATCGCTTAACAGTGGGCAAGCGTCTGAATCAGCCCATACAAAAAAGGGACTACAAAATTGAATTGGAAATAAAGTCCTTCAAAGAGCGTGTGCCTAAACGCCGTGTATATAGGCGTATGTAGTGATGTTTTAATAATGTTTCTGGAAATTTTAATAAAAATTTTTCCCAAAGTTTTTGAGAAAATCGCATTACACTTTGCGTAGTTTAAAGGGATATAAAAGTGCCGCCTACTCTATTACTTGAACCAATCGTTAGCCATTGCATGAACAAATTATTTTCTGTCATTTAAAATACCAATCGACGCTAACCTTTGAAAAATTCCTACGCCCCTTACAGAGCGTGTACCAAGTCAGGAGATATTTTGGAAAATTGATTGGCACTCGAATTAACTTTATGGAAAGTTTTAATCAATTTGTACCCACAGTTTTCTTGAAATTTTTTCTCATGATCACGTCACACTTGAGCCGTTCCAGACAGCAACCATCACAAAATTGTCCCGTCCATGACAGCAACCATCAAAAAATACCAATTCGACGCTAAAGCCTAGTATCCAGATCGACAAACGACTACGCTATCGTAAAAACTTTAATCTTTCCAGTGTGACCAACATTTTGAGAGTTCATCAGATTTAAGCGTGCTACGGTCGTACTGTCAATCAGCTCGGTTTGTTGACAAGCAGTTAAAATTCAAATATCGTATTTGCGGAAAAGAGCCTTTAAAAGATATTATCAAATACATTGGCAAGACAAGTCTGCCGCTGTACAAAGAAATTAATAAACAATACGATTTAAATTTAACAGTTGTTTTTTTAATTTACTGATAATTATTTGCAAATTTAAAGTTCATAGGTGCACTTTTATTGTGTTTTTTCGGACATTCTGGACCTAAAAAACATTTTGCTCTTACAAGAGGCACCCCAGATAGTATTAATGTTATTTTGTCCTCACATGTAAACACCTGCAATCGACTTTTGTGAGTTTTTTGAGTTTTTCCCTCCATTTCTTATAATGTTCAGTGAGAAGCGCACGCCAAAAGATTAAATTTTTTAATCTTTTCGCTAGGGTTCACGTTTCCGCAGACTGGCAACGCTATGGAATTTTATGGTATTTTTTCGTCGATCAGGAGACCGACGTGAAAAAAAGGCCCGACGAAAAGTGAACGCCAGCTGTTTGCCTCTCGCTCTCTCTCATGACTGGCGTACAGTTTTCGTCGATCTGGATACTAGGCTTAACTTTTGAAAAATTCCTACGTCCCTCACGGAGCGTGTGCCAACTCGGGAGATATTTTAAAAAATTGATAGGCAATCGAACTAACTTTGAAGAAAGTTTCAATCAATTAGAACCCACAGTTTCTTTGGGAGATATTTCAAAAAATTTATTGGCAATCGAACTAACTTTGAAAAAAGTTTCAATCAATTTTCTTTGGAATTAAAATTTGTTTAGTGAATGGCCACACGGCGGCATTTCCAAGACACTTACCACTGTGAGTCATCGATAGTTATTCGATATCAAGGAAAAAAGAAGGATGAAAGCCAGGGAATGAAGGAGGAAGGCCCGTAGCAAGAAACAACCCAGATAAGAATATTATCGTATGTATATACAGTGGATCGCCGCTTATTTCGTGCAGTTACCTAAAAAAAAGATCAAGTCGTTATCCCTTCTTAAGCCTAGTATCCAGATCGACGAAAACCGTACGCCAGTCATGAGAGAGAGCGAGAGGCAAACAGCTGGCGTTCACTTTTCGTCGGGCCTTTTTTTCACCTCGGTACTCAGATTGACGAAAAAATACCAGAAAATCGCATAGCGTTGCCAGACTGCTGAAATGAACTGTGCGCTTCTCACTGAACATTATAAGAAATGGAGGGAAAAACTTAAAAAACTCACAAAAGTCGATTGCAGGTGTTTACATGTGAGGACAAAATAACATTAATACTATCTGGGGTGCCTCTTGTCAGAGCAAAATGTTTTTTAGGTCCAGAATGTACGAAAAAACACAATAAAAGTGCAGCTATGAACTTTAAATTAGCAAATAATTATGGGTAAATTAAAATAAAACAACTCTTAAATTTAAATTGTATTGTTTTTTAATTTCTTTGTACACCTGCAGTCTTGTCTTGCCAAGGTATTTGATAATATCTGTTAAAGGCTCTTTCCCGCAAATACGATATTTGAATTTTAACTGCTTGTCAACAAACCCAGCTGATTGACAGTACGACCGTAGCACGCTTAAATCTGATGAACCGTCCAAATTTTGGTCACACTGGAAAGCTTAAAGTTTTTACGCTAGCGTAATCGTTTGTCGATCTGGATACTAGGCTTAAACTAAGAAAGATAACTGAAAAATTTAAATGCAGTATTTTAAAAGGGTATATTAACTTGTTTATTAAATTAAAACGATTTCCTTAATCATAAAAACAAAACACTTATTAAATAAAAACAAAATGTGCAGGCTTTTTTCATGACGCAGCTTATTTCGTGCAGTTCAGTCAACTTAACCTTTTTTTAAATTTAATAGCTAATATTTTGTATGTTCTCCTTTTTGAAGTTAGTGGTTTCCACTGGAATATTTGGCCATTCTTCCATAAGAACACTTTTCATGTCGTTTTTGTTCGAAATCTTCCTCTTCCTTATAGCGATGTCCAATTTTTCCCATACATTTTCGCTCATATTTAAATCTGGAGACTGTGCTGGTCTTATGACGACATGAGGGCAGTTCCAGACAAGTTAAACCTTTACAATTCCTGATGAATGCTTCGGATCGTTGTCCTGGTAAAATCGAAATCGATCGCGTATGCCCAGTTTTTCAGCAGTTTGGAGCAGATTTTCCTTTAAAATCTGTAGGTACATCTGGGCCATCCATGATAACTTAAAAAAAAACGAGGTTGCCCCGCCAGAAGCTGCCATACAAGCACAAACCATAACATATATACATGTAAACATTGATATTAATAATTAGTATTTTTGCAGAACTTCAAATTTAATTTTGGGTGCGCTCTGAAGAGGAAAATTGAAAGGTCCTCTTCAGAGAGCGAAGAAGAAGATCCTCGCCCCCGCCGCCGTGGCAACTGGAGGGCTAAACCCCGCCAAAACGTGGAAGATTCCGTCAAAAATTTGAGGCTGGATGATGAATCGCCGGGCCCCAGCTCAAAATAATATTTTGTAAAAATATAAATAAAAATTAAATATAAATAAATACATGTCTCGGAATTACTTTTTCATATTACAGCATCAGCTAAAGAACCAATTAATATTTTGTTAAAAAATATACATAAAAAATATAAATAAATAAATGTTTTTGAAACTACTTGATTTATACATAGAAACCGTTGTCTTATTTGGCAGGTATCGAAGCTGATTCCATAATTCCTAGAATGCCGACCTATTCCTAGAATCCAAAGTGTTCGTTCTCTCTGAAGTGCGAGACCACACTATTAGCGAGATGGTGTTGCCAGACCTTTTGAAAAACGGCATAAAATAAACAAACCTTTTTGAATTACATCATTTTATAGGGTATGAAAATTTCGTTTAATATTGACAATTTTACAATTTTTTTGGGACTATCTTAACATTGGTAATTTCTGGCTAGTTTAATTACAATTTTTAAAAATAAACAAACGTTTGTAAAAATATCGAAGTTTTTGAAATACATCATTTTATAGTTGCAAGTCCCGGAAAGTGAAACGAGGGCTGGGGAAATTGCGCCAATTGTCTAAATATCGAATAACTATCGATTATTCCCAGTGGTAAGAGCCTTGGAAATGCTGGCCATTCACTTAACAAATTTTAATTCCAAAGAAACTGTGGGTAAATTTGTTATTGGAATGTCCTCCATGTAGCATTTAGCGAATTGCAAAACAAAAATGCCACAATTAAACGTATCAGTTTGAATATCGCGCTCTATCGACACGCTAGTAAATCTTCTTTTACTTATGCGACTTAGTATATTATTATAATAATTTATAAACTTTTTCGCATTTTTGGTGTTTCCAAAAAGGATCTAAGAATATAAATTGTTGCTTAAAAATGTCTACAAATCAAACACAAAAATGATCAATGTAGCAATGAGGAACAATTAAATGGCGGTCTCCGTCTTCATAGGCTGATGTAATTATTTCTTAATTTTGAAATCCATAATGATTAATTTGATATGGAACATTTATTGTTGTCACATCTTCATTATAAAAAACTAAAGCAGTTAAAGCGGCGTCTAAGATAAAGATAGACAGCCACTTTTTATTCTGCAGTGTAAGTAAATCATTTAGTTCGATATGAAATATAAAACGGGAACTATTTGACGCATGTACAGACTCATCTAACATCTTTCGTAATGCTATTATTTATGTGAAAAAGTTGAAAGATAACCTTTTTGAATTTATCTTCCATTTTAAATTGTCTTTTTTTCGAGTACGTAAAAATGATCCAATTGAATTAATTCATTCGACTCTTTTAAGTGACGGGCTTTTATATGTTCTTCACGAACTTTATTTAGTCCGGAAAAATCACTTTTAAATAACCCTACTTTAAGCTTCTTTATTCCTTTCTTTTGCCAACTTTCTTCTATTGTTGACAGATTTTTATTGGAAATTTCTTTTAAGGGGTTACATCCAGTTAGACAGCCGAAAAAAGTCGATATTTTAGGAATTTTTTCTGGTAAAACTATGGAGTATTTTAGTTCACAAATTAATGCACATATAAAGAGTACTTTTAACTTTATTTTTGCATAGTTTATTTATAAAAATTATTTTTTTTACACCTTGTATAAAATATTTTCTGGAGCTCCTTCGAATCGAGACAGCTAGCGGTGAGCACGTTATTTCTCAACTGGATTATCTAAAATTAAAAATCAATGATTTTTTCGTTAATATAATACATTATCTTGTGATTAATCGAAGGAATAGACAAAAAAATAATTTTTAACAAAATGGCGCCTTCAGAAAGCAAAAGTATCAATTTTTGACAAAAATTCACGACATCAATTGTTTATAAAATGAAAAATATTTATTGTAAAAAAAAAACCTTCGATTAATCACTAAACAATATTATTAAGAAGCTTGTGTTAAAATCTGAGACCGATCGGTTCAGCCGTTTTCGAGAAATCTTGCTCACCGACTTTAAAATCATAGTTTTGAGAAAAACGCATTTAAAGTTTCAAAACCACTTTACTCATAATAAAAAATTTTTTTTTCAACTTACATCGAATCGTCTATTCCGGGTCCATATAATGTAGCTTCTTCACCTTCAGCCCCCTCTAAAACTTCTATTTGGTGTTGTCTACGAGCCATTCGGCCTTCACGTGTACTCTCCTGAGATCTTCGGTCGGCGATTGACACTCGTAGTGAATCCTCTCTTTCAGCATATGAGTCCGCATTGGGTCCAAGAGAAATTCCAGTGGCATTCATAAAATATAATAAAGATGATGCACCTTCGTTGAACACCCCAGCAGCTACGCATGTAGCCATTTCAACAATTTTCGAGCCAGACGGGATTATTTTTGGAGAGATTTTCCAAATTAATTGGTTGTAGCTCTCGTTGTTGTTTTGGGTGAAACCACCCAGACATCTTTCCAGTAATTCCTTCTTGCTGAGATCAGTGTAAATGAGGTGCAGAGCCTTCGCAACATCCTCTGTAAATGTCTGATAATCATGCTTAAAAGATGATAACTCATTCGCAGCTGCTGCCCGCTGCCAAGAGCACCATGACTCCGGTCCGGTTGGACAATTCTCGTGTTTAGGATTTTTATCCGTTGAGCAGTAGTGATAATATGTGGCCCATATGGAATTACGCATATTTTCGACTGAATGACAATTTCTCCTAATTGCTAAGCCATAATAAACTGTCAATTTATCAATCATTTTGCCTGTGAGCTTGCCTCTTCCGCCAAGAGTTTTTTTTTGACGATTTTTCCCATTTTTGTTCACTGTTTCCACATTTGTCTTTACACAATTTCGGAGCCGCGTGCCCATTCTTTTTTGAACGTGTCCAATACATTCTTTTTTTGTCACTACTTTTTTACCGTAAGGTGCAGCCTTTAAAATCCCCGTGTACGTTTTAGAGTCGCCGTCTCCTATGTAATTTTTGTAAATCACTCCAAACTTTTCCCATGATCGCTTAAACATTTCGACTACAGAATCTACCTCCATTTTTCCAGAAGAACCTGAATGATTGGCACTGCAATTTTCCACATGATCTTCATACCATTCATTATACTCCTCACTGTTAAGTTTCTTGCTCCAAGTTTCACACAGTTTACAGTAGGAACTTTTCACTAAAACATCAATGATTTTCCCAGAATAGTATCCAATTAGAGATGTCACGCCGTACAATGAAGTATATCCTCGTTTTTTCCAGGTTCCATCGCCAGATATAGAGAATTCTGTAGAATTTGCATCACCTTCGTGTTCAGAAGTCAATTTTTTCTTCCAGTACAAGCTTTTTGAAAAAGTTTTTCAGCGGCATTTTTGACACAGGAATAATACACACTATCAATAATCAAATCGTAAGTAGTTTGCGTTAAAAAAGCCGGCATGTCCATCAATCCACAAAATTTTTTCGCGCCTGCTAATCCTAATCCGAGAACTCTCATGTCAAATAAAAAACGTCTATTTATCTCATAAGAATGTTTGACAAAAGGACTAGAATTTATACTACGAGCTGCACACTTATCACACAATAAAACAATTTTAAAACCAAGTCCTCGTTCAGACGCCGTTTCAAACTTAATTATTCCATGACTTCTGCACTTTACGAATTCAGAAATTGCCGCAAACACTGTAATAAAATTTAAAATTCTGTATTCAATAAATGAATTAAGCGGAACTGAGATTTCTTCTTGCAATTTGAGCTTTTTGGCAGAAGTACTGAAACTACTTTCCTCTGTTTCAACTTTTTTCGGATTGAAAACATTTTTTCGTTTTTTGGGTCTTGATTTTTGAATTTTGGAAATTGCTCTCTTTTCTCTTGAAATTTTCATTTTCGTGCCGTGAAAATAAAAATATTCAAATGTCACTTACAAGCTCATTGCTACACTAAACAGTTGAATACTTAATGCAAAAAAGCAGGCATAGACAATACTAATCAAATGGGCTGCGTCTGGTTCTTGCATCAAAACATTCAATTTCGACGGTCCGCTTTCAGTCGCTCCGACACATGCATGTAAATTTTAATATAACTTGGGAAATATTCATCGGATCACCCTGAAATTTTTTCAGGGTACTCTTAAATAAATATACTTTACGAAAATGCAATAAAAAACAAGAAAGGAAAGCTAACTTCGGGCGGAGCCGAAGTTGAAATACCCTTGCAGAATATTCTGCAAATTATATTCTCCAAAATTATTCATATGATGCATTCTTAATACTCATAAAAAATCCCAGCTTCCTAACTTTAAAAACACCAAAGTTATGGCATTTCCAATCGTTCAGTTATATAGCAGCTATAGGATATATTCGGCCGATCCTTATGAAATTTGGTACGTCGGATTGATTGGCCAAATATAAAACTTATAGAAGGTCCCAACTTCCTAACTTAACAAACACCAAAGTTATGGCATTTCCGATCAATCAGTTATATGGCAGCTATAAGATATAGTCGGCCGATCCTTATGAAATTTGGTAGGTCAGATTAATTGGCCAAATATAAAACCCATAGAAAATCCTAACTTCCTAACTTCACAAACACCAAAGTTATGGCATTTCCGATCAATCAGTTATATGGCAGCTATAGGATATAGTCGGCCGATCCTTATGAAATTTGGTACGTCGGATTGATTGGCCAAATATAAAACCCATAGAAGGTCCCAACTTTCTAACTTAACAAAGAGCAGAGTTATGGCATTTCCGATCAATCAGTTATATGGCAGCTATAGGATATAGTCGGCCGATCCCGGCCGTTCCGACTTATATACTGCGTGCAAAGGAAAGAAGGGTGTGTGCAAAGTTTGAATTCGATATCTTTAAAACTGAGAGACTAGTTCGCGTAGAAACAGACAGACGGACAGACAGACGGACAGACAGACGGACAGACAGACGGACAGACGGACAGACGGACAGACGGACATGGCTATATCAACTCAGGAGGTGATCCTGATCAAGAATATATATACTTTATAGGGTCGGAGAAGTCTCCTTCACTGCGTTGCACACTTTTGACCAAAATTATAATACCCTCTGCAAGGGTATAAAAATCGATTTTTTCAAAATCCTAAGTGGATGTAACCCCTTAAAACAGATTTTTTTTTCAAGGCAGGTTTTTTCGCCCTTGCTTTTATTAACTTACCATGAGTAAGAGGGGAACAAGAATATTCCGGACGCTCAAGCTCAACTTGCCGAACCACGGATTTTAAAAGATCGTCCAATTTTCGGATGAACCTTCCTAACTTTAATCCCTGTGGTTCAATGTCTTAAAAAATGATTCAATTGGACCGTTGCTGTGCCTTTTATTGCTCTCGTCAATAAAAATTCCCATAACATTAGTTCAAAAAGGAGCAAAAACAATATATTTCCCCAAAATAACATCTACCATTTCAGGATGATGATATATGTTAATTTGGACAGTTTCGGTTTGCTTTGATAACATTTCGGTGATTTCAGAGCAATAAAAGTGAATCGTTTTTTAAATTCACTATGGCCTGCAATCGTATTCAATGCATCCTCGCGGTCTCTAAAATTTGGCTTAGCAGACGCTTCATGCTGGCTCAAATCAAAAGTGGGTAAGGTATCACCTGATAAATAGGATATAGAATCTATAACATAACTATTTACAAATGGAGAAAGAAGAATGGTTATTACGTTGCAAAACCATTCCTCTAACTTCTTAATTGTAATAATATTATATCCGAGACCAAGAGCTTTTCTAATAAAATCTCCTAACTCAATATTTGCCAGTCCTACGGTTCGGTCAATATCCGCACACATTATTTTTGCATAATGACTTGTACAAAATTTAACGCTCTTTCTCCTTATAAAAAGCGGAAGAACATACTATTGTATTGAACAATGTCTAAATGATTAAATTCATTTAAAATTGCTTGAATAATAGCAAAACTAACTCAATATCCGCACACATTATTTTTGCATAATGACTTGTACAAAATTTAACGCTCTTTCTCCTTATAAAAAGCGGAAGAACATACTATTGTATTGAACAATGTCTAAATGATTAAATTCATTTAAAATTGCTTGAATAATAGCAAAACTAACATCAGTTATAATGCGTTTGCATATTGGCAGCTTGAATTTATTGTCTTTACAAAACTTTTTTATCTCCCATAAAAAGCGACCAATATCATAGGCACAATGATTGGATGAAATGGCATGAGCCAGAGGTACAACAAGTGATACTCTGGAATATGTGCAACTGATGAAATGGAGAAGAATCCTTTTCTTCACAAATTCATTGGATGGACTACGCACCCTACAGCGTCTATATGCAAGGTGTCTTTCTTGATATTATGGAGAAGAACCCTTATGTGTTCCTTATTCCATAAGTACACTTCCAGCTTTGTCGATTAAAACTGAATAAAGTGTGATAAATTGTTGCATTTCATTTCAAAGGCGTCTTTAAAGGGATTCTTTTCAAAATCGTGTTTAGCGTTCACCTCTGATATTAAATTTCTATAATAAGATAAATGTTTATTGATCATTTGATCATTGCCAATAAGCGCCCTGTTTGTGTTGGCTTTATTGACCAATTTATTTTTAAATACAAACGCAGTGCAGCCTTTAATATCTTTTTTCGCAAGAAAACGATTTATGGCTCTGCATTGAGTTTGAATAAATTCGAACATTTCCATTATATAATCCCTGAAACTTGTAATAGTTGCAAGATTGGTCTTGGCAATATTCATAAGCTATATAATGATCTTTATTCAGTCGAATAGACTTAAAATTTATAGAACAAGCATTATTAACAGTGAAACAATTTTCTCTAATTACATGCTCAATACTCTGTTTCTCTGTGAACTACAGCATTCTAAAACAGTTGTTTCAAAATCTGGAATTTTTAATTCTGCGATAAAGATATCACAGGGCTTTGCTGCGCGAATCCCATGTGGATTCAAATCTACCATTTCCACGTCAACATTTAAGCTTAAATTTCCAATCCGAGAAGTTTTTCGAACACATTTTAATATTGCTTCGATATGACTTTCATCTATAAGAGAAGAAGTAGTAATATGACTAGGCGAATCCATAAGACTTTTATTTGATTCGTCACTATGGTTGTCGTCATTAGTTTTTGGCGTTTCGCCAATCAAAGAGGAGTTTTCCACTTTTAAAGAAATTGGATTAGCAGTTTTTAAATTGCAATTCCTTAAAATTCTTTTGTAAGTCATTAAGACGTTTTTTTGCCACCTTTTGGTTAAGCAATTTGTTTGAAAGAAACCACAATTTTTTGTCGAACTAATTTCTCTAATATTGAGAATTATTTCAAAATCTTTTTCTTGTAGAAAACCTGTTGGTTTTACAAGACCAGATTCTATTGATATACAAATAGCTTTAGGAATAATTCCGGTATAGTACCTACAAAAAAATTAAAATCAATAAATCGATTCTAAAATATTACTACTTTTAAGAATTCCGGGGCTAACTACTCCTATACTAAATAAACTTCTAAGCAAACTCCGGAAAGTTTTATGAAACAACTACCTTTCAATGTTTTTTGTTAAAAATATGTATTAAAACTTATCAAAATGAATATATTTTTTTTTAACTTCAATAAACTTAATCTTTACGATGTCAAATATACCAAAATTAACTACGTCACTCCTTCGTGAACCGTATATTCATAGAAAACAAAAAAATGGCTGAAAATCACACCAAAAAAGTTTACGTACAATTGTCATATCTCTGTTTCTTGGGAATTCCCTTTCCAAATCTAACGGAGATCGCGAATTCTTCTTTAAGTCTACTTCTGATGCTTGCATTTTTATCCATTTTAATTTAATTTCATTTGATTTTG